TAGAGCAGACATACTCAGAGTTCTGTGGGAATCCTAAGGTTCCTCTAGAGGTGGCCAGGTCTTCCTTGCACTGTGGCTAACTGACTTCCCACATAATGGTGCCTGGCTAGTTCCAGGTCCAACACCACTTGGCAGAGCCAAAGGCGTGCCTGTAAGGGTGGAATCGGGGGAACTAATGCCTGTAAGGGGAACTTTCTTTCCACTCACTACTACTAAAATGTAAGGGGCATTTTCCCAATGACTACCAATAGTCTAATCTTAGCAATGTTAACCACTACTGTGTTTTGTTGTGCACTGCATTACAAAAAAAAAATTTATACAGTATATATATAATATATATACACTATATTGCCAAAAGTATTGGGACACTCATACAAATCATTGGATTCAGGTGATCAGATTGGTCAGATCATCTCCATGGCCAAAGGTGTATAAAATCAAGCACCTAGGCATGCAGACTGCTTCTTCTAAAAACATTTGTGAAAGAATAAGTCGCTCTCAGGAGCTCAGTGAATTCAAGTGTGGTCCCGTGATAGGTTACCACCTGTGCAATAAGTCCATCCGTGATATTTCCGTGCTTACTAAATATTAACTAGCTAGTTAACTGTTAGTGATATTAGTGATATTATATCAAAGTGGAAGCAACTGGGAACAACAGAAACTCAGCCAGCAAGTGGTAAGCAACGTAAAATGACAGAGTGGGGTCTGCGCATGCTGAAACGCACAGTGCACAGAAGTCGCCAACTGTCTGCAGAGTCAATAGCTAAAGACCTCCAAACTTCAAGTGGCCTTCAGATTAGCACAACAACAGTGCATAGAGAGCTTCATGGAATGGGTTTCCATGGCTGAGCAGCTGCATCCAAGCTTCACATCACCAAGTGCAATGCAAAGCGTCGGATGCAGTGGTGTAAAGCACGCCGCCACTGGACTCCAGAGCAGTGGAGATGTGTTCTCTGGAGTGACAAATCATGCTTCTCTGTCTGGCAATCCGATGGGCTGGAAGTTGCCAGGAGAACGGTACTTGCTTGACTGCATTGTGTCAATTGTAAAGTTTGGTGGAGGGGGGGTTGTTTTTCAGGGGTTGGGTTTGGCCCCTTAGTTTCAGTGAAGGGAACTCAAAAAGCGTCAGCATACCAAGACATTTTGGACAATTTCATGCTCCCAACTTTGTGGGAACAGTTTTGGGGATGGCCCCTTCCTGTTCCAACATTACTGTGTACCAGTGCACAAAGCAAGGTCCATAAAGACATGGATGACTGAGTTTGGGGTGGAGGAACTTGACTGGCCTGCACAGTGTCCTGACCTCAACTCGATAGAACGCCTTTCTAGTGCAGAAGATATCTAGTGTTTCCCAGTATTTCTAGTGGAGAATATCCCAAGTGTCCCCCAGTGTTTCCTAATGGTGACGATTCCTAGTGTTCTCTAGGGTTACCCAGTGGAGAGGATGCCTAGTGTTCCACAGTTTCCTAGTGGAGACAATTCCTAATGTTCCCCAGTGTTTCCTAGTGGAGTAGATTCCTAGGATTCCCCAGTATTTCCTAGTGGAGAAGATTCTTAGCGTTCCCCAGTGTTTCCTAGTGGAGACAATTCCTATTGTTCCCCAATATTTCCTAGTTGAGAAGATTCCTTCCTGCAACCTGTGTCCTTGTACCTGTTGTATCCTCTGAGCATTCCAGTGCCTTGGAAACCTATTCATACCCCTTGACATTTTCCACATTTTGTGCTTGTCTAGCAAATAAAATCCCAATAAAATATATTTACGTTTTTGGTTTTAACATGGCAAAATGTGGAAAATTTCAAGGGATATGAATACTTTTTCAAGGCACTGTAACTGTGTCTGTGTTTCCCTTGTATACCTTTGTCAGCTTTCAGTCTTCCTGCACCTGCATAAACCCCTGTGAGGTTCATCTACCTTTCATTAGTAGCACCCTGTGTCTGCAATCTGCTTGCGTCTCTGTGTGTATTCCCAGTTTGCTTAATGCCCAGTTTTCCTGTGCAATTCTATCTGTTTCTAACAGGGGCGGACTGACAACTCATGGGGCCCTTGTGTCCCGGGTAATAGGGAATCATGGGGCCCTTGTGTCCTTGCCCAAACTCAAAAAAGCCTATGAAAAAGGTACCAGGGGCATCTCATGGGGCCCCCTACTGACCCCGGGCCCTCGGGCAGTGCCCAAGTTTCCAAATGGTCAGTCCGCCCCTGGTTCCTAGTGATCCCTGTCTGTTTCTGTGCATTGCTACTCAATCCTAGTGATCCTGTGTGTCTTCTAGCACTTCTTACTACCCATTCCCAGCACACAACATAATTTACAAAATTCCTGCTAAATCTAAAAGATACAAATGTATTAATAAATCTATGTGTGTGAGTTCTTGGAGCTCATTCACATGGGCACTGTGTCCTTTACAGTGTTAATGTAAGTGTTTTCATGCAGCTGAAGATGTGTGCAGGCAGCCATTGTTATGCTATGTACGAACACAGCCGCAGGTCCTAAATTCACAGGTGTGTTAATGGCCCCAAACACAGACCATATGCATTCGGGGCCCCCACGCCTCCACAACTGTCAAATTAGGACAAATTAGGATTTGTGGCTGTGTTCATACAGCTACTGCACCCCCCATAGATTAGCACGCAGTTCCAGCTGCACAAACAAACTGCTTATTCACAATATATGGGCCGGAGAACCTGTTAGAATGAGCCCTTAATTTTTATAAATCATTTTTTATGATTTTCTTCCATTATTTTTTTTCACAGTGCTGTGGAGGAGGGGAGCGATGGGTCTTTGGTGAAATAACAGAGGTCAAAACATACCCATGTGCCTCACATTTGAGAGAGAGAAAAGAATTGAGGACCTAGATACCCGATCCTTTTTGTGCAGCCTCAGCACTTCAGGTTGAATGATCAGGAGGTGCTCTTTACAGAGGTTTCCTGTTCATTCACAAACTGAAGCATAGTAAACACAGTTTACTATGCTTCAGTTATGAATGAATGCAATGAGTGACCAGTACTGATTTTTTTTCCATCTGTGTATCATTGGGGAGAGTTCCCTTCACTTGCTGTCCCATAGCCAATACAAAAGTGAAGGAATCTTGTGTCACCAGGGCCACCAGAACTAGTGCCCCCAATGGAAGATTTTCCCTCTACTAATGTGTTCTGGTGTCACCAAAATTTGGGATTTTCTTTTTTTTTCCATTGTCAATGAATATGATAAACAGGACAAAAAGGGAGGGTGGATCTCCCGAATAGGGGCACAGACAGCAATAAAAACTGACAGGTATTCTAGTTCTCCACTCTATCCAAAATTAAAAGAAAATGTTTTGCCTTTAGTTACACTTTGGGGGGGGGGGGGACTCTGATGAGGACCCTTTTTTAAGAGGGGACTCTGATAGGGACCCTGATGTATGGGCAGGGGCGGACTGACAACTCATGGGGGCCCCAGGGCAATAGGGGTTCACGGGGCCCCTATGTCCTTGCCCAAACTCAAAAAAGCCTATGAAAAAGGTACCAGGGGCATCTCATGGAGCCCCCTACTGACCCTGGGCCCTTGGGCAGTGCCCAAGTTTCCAATGGTCCGCCCCTGTGTATGGGGGAACTCTGATGGGGATCCTGATATATGGGGCAACTGTGATGGGGACCCGGATGCATTAAAGAACTCTGATAGGGACCCTGATGAACGTGGTCTCTAATATGTAAGGGAGGCTCTGAAGTGATGAAGGGCTTCTGATGTGAAACTGGAACTCTGATGTGATGGGGAAACTTCTGCTTTGAACGGGGGACTTCTGATGTGATGTGATGCGAGGCTTCTGATATTTAAAAAATGGATTTTATTTTGGCCTATGAATTTTTGGAAATCGTACCATGTGGCCCCCGTACCAAGAAGTTTGGAGACCCCTGGTTTAGACAACACTAAAATGAAGATCGTCTAAGTGGGAAAATACGTCATGGTTTTCAAGTGGTATATACGGGGTTATGGCTGTAGCAATATGCTAGAACCCTCGCTGGATCACTTTTAGAAATAGCAGGACTCACCCCCCCCTTCCCCCCCACCGCTTGACCACAGCGATTAGCCGAGGAAAGATGGCCTCCACTAATTTCTATGGTCCAGGAGGATCAGAGTGTTGTCAAGATGTCTCTTCCGGCCTCATGTAAACCATGCCATTTTTTTTTTGGAAAGCTTTAGATCAGTGTTTTTTTTTATCTGATGCTTTCCATTGTAGAAGAGAGATGTGAAGTCTTACAGACCCCAGATCTCTCCATAATGAGGACATGTCATGCTTTATTGTTATCACAAGGGATGTTTGCATTTGTTGTGGTAGCAATAAAAATGGTGAAATTTTTTTTTCACAGGGACAGGGTAAAAACAAAAAAATTAATATGTAAAATAAAGTTTTTAAAGCATTCCCCTATGTTCGCACGCAGTGGCGCGTGCATATATATGTCACGGCCACATAAGTAAATATCTATTCGCACCACACATGTGAGGTATCGCCACGAGCCTTATAGCGAGATAAATAATTCTAGCACTAGACCTCCTCTGTAACTCTAAAATGGTAACCTGTAAAAAAGTTTAAAATGTCGCCTATGAAGATTTTTAAGTACCGTAGTTTGGCGCCATTCCACAAACGTGCGCAATTTTAAAGCATGACATGTTAAGTATCTATTTACCTGGCATAAAATCATCTTTCATAGTTTACAAAAATGTTGGGTTATATATTGTGTTATTTTTTTTTTATTCTTTAAAACCACTTTCCTACAGGGCACTTATACCCCCTTTGTGCCCATGTCAATTTTCGGCTTTCAGCGCTGTCGCACTTTGAATGACAATTGCGCGGTCATGCAACGCTGTACCCAAATTAAATGTTTATCATATCATTTTTTTCACACAAAGAGAGCTTTGTTTTGGTGGTATTTATTCACTGCTGGGTGTTTTATTTTTTGCACTGTAAACAAAAAAATAGCAAAATTTTTAAAAAAAGTTTTTCTTTGTTTCTATTATCAAATTTTGCAAATAGGTAATTTTTCTCCTTCACTGATGTGCGCTGGTGAGGCTGCACTGATGATCACTGATAGGCAGCACTGACGGGGGACTGATAGGCAGCACTGATGAGCTGGCACTGATCAGCAACAATGATGGGTACTGATAAGCGACACTGATGGGAACTGATAGGCAGCACTGATAGGCGGCACTGATGAGCTGGAACTGATATGCAACAATGATGGCGGCACTGATGGGTGGCATTGACTGATGGCAGTGCCTGGAGGCACTGCTGGGCACTGACTGGCGGCACTGCTGGGCATTGATGGGTGGCACTGATGGGTGGCACTGATGAGCTGGCACTGATAGGCAGCACTGATGATGCTGCACTGATATGCAACAATGCTGGGCACAGGTGGCACTGATGGCACAGGTGGGTGGGCACTGATGGGTGGGGTGGCGCTGATGGGCACAGGTGGGTGGCGCTGGTGTGGGTGGCACTGCTGGGCACTGATCATCAGTGCCCTGATGATCGGTGCCGATCCGTCCTCTGACAATTGCCGGTTATCGGCAGTACTTTCCTCAAGCTGTGACAGCATGAGGAAAGTGTTGCCGATAACTGGCAACTGCATTTACCGGTGATCTGCTGGTGATTGGACACAGCTGATCCTGTGGTAAAAGGACGCTGTGATTGGCCATTTACCACATCATGTGATCAGCTGTGTCCGTAGGGCACAGCAATCATGGAGATTGCTGGGTGCGTTCCCCCGGGGGCGCGCGGGAGGGTGCGTTTTGGGAGGACGTCATATGACGCCCTCCCAGAACTGGCCGGCCGCAGTGAAGCCATCATTCAGCTATCTGCGTTCTGCAAGTGGTTAAAGTGTATTTTTTCCCAAAAAATTGTGTTTTGAAAAATCACTGCATAAATACTGTGAGACATAAAAAATTGCAACAACCGCCATTTTATTCTCTAGGGTCACTGCTAAAAAATCATATATACAGTTGCAAGAAAAAGTATGTGAACCCCTTGGGATTATGTGGAGTTTTGCAGGAATTGGGCAGAAAAAGTGCTCTGAACGTCATCTAAGTCACAACAATAGAAGAACACAGTCTGCTGAACATAATACTACACAAACATTAGATGTTGCCATGGTTTAATTGCACATAACATGTAAACATTCACAGTGCAGGGAGGAAAAAAGTATGTGAACCTTTGGACTTAATAACTGGTTGACCCTCCTTTGGCAGCAAAAACCTCAACCAAACGTTTCCTGTAGTTTCAGATCTGCACAACGATCTGGAGTAATTTTGGACCACTCCTCTTCACAAAACTGTTTCAGTGTAGCAATATTCTTGGGATGTCTGGTGCGAATCGCTCTCTTAAGGTCATGCCACAGCATTTCAATCGGGTTGAGGTCAGGACTCTGACTGAGCCACTCCAGAAGGCATATTCTGTGCTGTTGTATCCATTGTTTTGTTGAATTACTTGTATGCTTTGGGTCATTGTCCTGTTGCATCACCCATCCTCTGTGGAGCTTCAGTTGGCGGACAGATGGTCGTACGTTTTCCTGCAAAATGTCTTGATAAACTCTGGAATTCATTTTCCCATCAATGACAACAATCCGTCCAGGCCCTGAGGCAGCAAAGCAGCCCCAAACCATGATGCTCCCTCCGCCATGTTCTACAGTGGGGATGAGGTTTTGATGTTGGTGTGCTGTGCCTTTTTTTCTCCACACATAGTGTTGTGTGTTCTTCCCAAACAACTTAATCTTGGTTTCATCTATCCACAGTATATTTTGCCAGTAGTGCTGTGGAACATCCAGGTGCTCTTTTGCAAACTTCAAATGTGCTGCAATATTCTTTTTGGACAGCAATGGCTTCCTCCGTGGTGTCCTCCCATGTACTCCATTCTTGTTTAATGTTTTCCTTATTGTAGATGTGTCAACAAAAATGTTAGCATGTGCCAGGTCTGTAGCTGACACACTCTGGGATTCTTCTTTACCTCATGCAGCATTCTGCGCTGTGCTCTTGCAGTCATTTTTACAGGATGACGACGCCTAGGGAGAGTAGCAACAGTGCTAAACTTTCTCCATTTGTAGACAGTCTGTCTTACCGTGGACACATGAACATCAAGGCTTTTGGAGATACTTTTGTAACCCTTTCCAGCTTCATGCAAGTCAACAATTCTTGATCGTAGGTCTTCTGAGAGCTCTTTTCTGCGAGGCATGGTTCACATCAGACAGTGCTTCTTGAAACCAGTAAACCCAAAACAGGTGTGTGTTTTTTAAGGGTAGGACAGCTGTGAGCAACACATCCAATATCATCACACTGATTGGAGTCAAGGCTGGCTCACTCCTGGCTCCAATTAGCTCTGGAAGAAGTCATTAAGCTAGGGCCCTCACATACTTTTTCCTCCCTGCACTGTGAATGTTTACATGTTATGTGCAATTAAACTATGGCAACATCTAATGTTTGTGTAGTATTATGTTCAGCAGACTGTGTTCTTCTATTGTTGTGACTTAGATGACGTTCAGAGCACATTTTATGCCCAATTCATGCAAAACTCCACGTAATCCCAAGGGGTTCACAAACTTTTTCTTGCAACTGTAATGTTTGGGGGTTCTAAGTAATTTTCTAGCAAAAAAACACAAATTTTTACATGTAAGAGAGAAGTGTCAGAATAGGCCTGGTTCTTAAAGGATAAGTTCACCTTTTCCGGCAGAATTTCACTTTTCATAATAAATAGAAGCGTATTCCAATGCTTTTCTGTCACTTACCTCATCCGCAGGACATTTCATTTTTTGTCAGTTTCTGTGAGATTTTGAACATATTTTCAGATTGTGTCATTTCCTGTAAATGGTCTCTTAGCATTTACTTTCTGTAGGCTACTTCCCAGAAGCCTTCACTTCTTTGTTGCTTCACAGAAGAGGGTGTGATAAGGTGCATTCACCACTCTGGACCACACCCCCCTCATTACAATACTACCTTCCTCCCATCAGCTATGTAGTGCAAGGGCCGGTCTGATTTGATACAAATTGAATACTTTGTTCAGGTGTGTTCTCCTATTCCATAGTTCTGGTAAATCTGAAGGAAATTGTACATAGATTGTACAATCACAGGGCATAGTGTATGGCCATCTTTATACAAGTACATAGGAGGGAGTGGACAGAGACACTCCGGCCCCGTTCACGTCTCCAGGTAGTGAAGAGTCACATTCCTGCATGCATTCATTTTGAACATTTTTGGAGCTTTTCCCCTCATCACGCATAGGGCAGCACATTATTATTATTATTATTATTATTATACAGGATACAGATCAGCACTTTACAATATAACGGGAGACAATACAGCAACAATACAGTTCAATACAAGAGGGATTTGAGGGCCCTGATCCTTGGAGCTTACAATCTAGGAGCACATTCACTTAAATGGGCTGCCAAACATGAAACAATTGCCCCAGAAAAGCTCCAGAACTTTTTTTGGAGCAGAGCATGGTGCATTATCCACAGTTTTTGGTGTATTTGCCGCACTATGGGTGCCTTTAACATGTAATGACAACACAAACGCGATGCACATTTGCAGCTTATTTTTGAAACGCATGGCAAAGTGTGCATTTTCTGTGCAGATTGCCGTGCATTCGGAAACACAAAGACCACCCCACACTGATGCGTACTCCAATCCAGTAAGTAACCACCCCCACCCCCTAATCTTTTGCTTAGACTCCCACCCAAATTACACCCTCTGCCTCGTCTGCATGCCCCAGTCATGCTGGCCCTCCCTTATAGCTTCGCTCAGTCCAGGCCTTGACTGATGTATGTGAATGGAGCCTCACTGTTTTATGTAAAAGCACCAATCTCACTTTCAGGACCCATTCACACAGAGAGTAGAGGGAGCACTTGTTTTTTTGTCTCGTTTTGCCAGTGACACACATAGGGCAGCCTGTTGATTTCAATGGGCTGCGCTACACGTGGCAAAGTAGCTCATGGGTCATTTGGCGTGATGCATGTTGCACATTTTTTTCCTGCGCGCTTTGCTGCATTTGTCACCTGTTTTTCCATGCGGCAAAACGTGTGCTTGTTTCTGTGTTTGGTGTGCCGTTAACAATTAATTACACTGAAAGGGCAACTAGGTAATTTTAGGTGTATAAAGGTGACCATACCCTATGCAGTCTGATTGTACAATCTCTGTATGATCTCCTTTAGATTTACCAAAACTTTATAATAAGAGAACACAACATCTGTCCAATCACTCGGCATGCGCCCATCTATTGAAACGCTGGGGTAGCCAGGCAAATGCATGTGAGGAGAGATCCCAGGGATGCTGTGAAAAATAGTTAATGGGTGAAGGGTGTGTACTAATGAGGTCAGTGCAGGATGTGTGTGCTAATGAGATCAGCTGGTAATCTACTTCCAGGGTCCTACTGGCTCCTCTGTCCTCTGTCTACATTCCAAGAATTGAAAAAGCTTTTAAGAAATGTACCAAAGGCTAAGGTAAGGCCTTGCTCTCCAGATCAAAGAGAGCTTGTATATTTGCAAACTGAGGTACATTAATGAAATATTGGTACATATGGGAGCTGGATTTTATATGTAAAAAAAAAAAGAACAGAAAAAAAGGGAACTAAGCCTTTAATACAAAGTATAAGAACTAAAGTATTTTTTGCTGCTTTTGCTTGGAGCTTACCTCATGCTGGTAAAAGACATAAATGTGAGATATTTTTTCACAGGTATGTTTGTTAAGTTTTTTACTTTATATATACAAAAATAACAGTTACAGAATTGTGGCATTCAGCATAGCACCATTATAATACTTTGGGAGACAAAAAGACAATCTAGACAGGAGAGAGATGATACCACGGAAACGTTAGATATTTACGGCTACCTGATAAAAGAGACATAAAAAATTAATATCTGTGAACTACTGAACATAATAAATAAAATATATATTTTTGATAAAAATGCATGCATACTAACAAGTATATACATGCCTACCTGCGGGCAACCCTTATTGACCACCTGCTGCTCTCAATGCAGCTAATCAGAGGCACACATCAAGTTTACAGCTGAATGCAGGATAACTTTCTAGTTTCTTCACCTCAGGTAGTTTCTATTCTTTTACTGAGAATGCGATAACATTCGACTATTTCAGAAATGCTTCTATGCAAACTCGGAGGCACCTGTTCTTCTTAGTAATAAATTATTCTGTTTTTTTTTTACGAAAACTTTCTAAACTTTAAACTTACTACCAAAAAATGAGGGGAATCATTAACAATTTATGGATTTTAAGCTTTTTAGGAACAAAGGTAAAACTTCTAGACAGATATGCAAAAAGTTTGCATCTGTGTTTAAATGAGTAACAAACAATAAATAGCAACAAAACTAATAAAAATGGAAAAAGAATAGTACATAAAAAAAAATAGAAATCAAAGAAAAAAAAACAGCAGAAAAACAATAGCTAAAAAAAAAAAAGGAAGACGTTTATGACCCCAGGTTCACACCTAAGCATTTTCTACAGCGTTTTGCAGAAACACAGTACCGTCTATTTAACATGATTTCCTATGGGACAGGTTCACATCTGCGCATTTTCACCTGGTGTGTTTTTTGGAAAGGGTCAGGGACTTTTTTTAATACAAAAAGTAGCGTTTTTGGTTCTATAGACTTGCTTCAGAA